ATGGGTAAAATGAGGACCCAGATTGTTGGGGGCAATATGCTGATTCTAAATCATTTAGAGAGGACTGTGAAAGCACTGTGAAGCAGTATATAGGTCTAAGTGCTATTGCTAAGTGCTACTGCTATTATAGAGACATTAAGTATTTAGACATTTATTGGTTTTATAGATGAGCAACACAGAGTCTGGAAAGCTTCAGTCCCAAAGGAAATGAATAGATCCACATCACAGATCCAAGCCATATGGTGAGCAGATCACTCATAAGCCAAACCACAAAGCAGTCAAGCCACTATATAAAAATAACAGTACTTTAAATTATTCTTGAAGCCTTGATGGAAGAGAAGTTTTTGAATTTCCTACCCGTGTTGACTGGAATGTACTCCATACAGCCTGTTGCCATCTTTTCTAGCTGAGCACAACATCTCCATCGTCCATCTATCCAGAAATTTGGGTGAAACTTTGACACCAAAGTTGTGTTGTTCCTAGTTTCTAAAATGGGGAAAGTGTCAGATACTCTAAGCAGAGCAATCCTGATCATGGTAAACAGCTTTTACAATAGACTTCCCCCATCTGATACCCTGTAAGTGTATTGGGATTGCCATTTCCCAAATTCCAGACAGTCATTTTAATCATTACATGTGATGGGAAAGAATTGCTTCCATTATATCCTCCACCCCATGAAACAGAAGAGAGCAGGTATTAGTGAAATTCCAAAGCATCCTGATCATGAGACAGAAGAGCAAAAGCTACTTTTACTGTGATTAAAACAAAGCAAAACACAAAACTCCTGAAGTTTGGAGAATAGATTTCATCATGATATTATGAACAGATGATGTAGATGCCATTGCACTTATTACAAATAATAAATTAATAAGCTGTTGTCATTGTAATAAGGGCCAATCTTGTTTTATTTTAATGTGCTATTATGTAAAAGGAGTCATCGAGGCAGCATACAATTAATTAGATAAACACATAGATAAACACATATCCTTTTCATCCTTAAACATTATTCCCAGCATATGGAGGTGAAATAAATCTTTCCCATCAACAGTTTGCCATCAACTTTTTTAAAAAGTGATATTAGAATAATTAAAGGCTGCAGCTGGAAACAGGAATATAAAAGTCATTTCAAATCCACAAAAGCTTATGTCCAATATGTATTTCTTAAAGCCTTCAATTGCCAGTATGTTACCTTGACATACTGAATTTCAAATGAGGTGTTGACCTGAGGAATTACAATGTGATGAGTTACAAATTACCTTCTTTCAGAACCATGACCCATTTCTGGCAGCTTGCTAGGTTGGGAGCAAAGATGTAGAGCATATAGTTGTCATGAGAAATCTGTGATGGAAGGGGTAAAGGATTTAGAGTCAGTTCTAAACTAACAGGATCAGACCACTTTCTATGAATGGTTTCTTATTTATTTATTTATTTATTTATTTATTTATTTATTTATTTATTTATTTATTTATTTATTTGATTTGCCAATTGTTTACAAGATAATAAGTATAAGTGTATACATAGTTGTGAATACATGAAATGGGTACATATAAGAAAAATAAAAGAATAAGAGAAACAATAGGACAGGGACGGTAGGCACGTTGGTGCGCTTATGCACGCCCCCTACAGACCTCTTAGGAAAGGGGTGAGGTCAATAGTAGACAGTCTAAGGTTAAAGTTTTTGGGGTTTGGGGAAGAAACTACAGAGTCGGGTAGAGTATTCCAGACATTGACCACTCTATTGCTGAAGTTGTATTTCCTGCAATCAAGTTTGTGATTTTAGAATGTGATTTAAAATGTGATGTTAGAAGGAAAAGTGACCTTGTATTAATAAATAATAAATATTCTAATGTGGTGACATATTACTAACAAAACTATTGCATTAAACATTTTTCCAAGTGAACATTATTTCTTATTCTGAGATATTTGTGTGTGTGTGTGTGTGTGTCTGTCTGTCTGTCTAGTGAATACATTATATATATTTGCACACAATGGATAAAACATAATAAAAAGCACCGAAAATCCATTATTCCATTGTTAGATCTTAGCAAAATTTCAACAGATTTCCACAGATTGGAATAGAATATTGCTCTTTAAAAGAAAGTAAACCTAACTGAGGTTGTAAAACTCTTACTTTCTTCAACAGAAACCAGCTATCTCTACCTTTGTCAATCATGAATTGTATCACTAGGGTCAAAAAAATTTCTTGATTTTCTGAATGGCACTGTATTTGCAGCACATTATGGATTGTTCCTTTCACTGCCAAACAGGAAGCTAACATTTGGGCTGCAGCTGAGGGGGAAAAAATGATTCCATATGCCATTTACATTATTATATATCTGATTTGCTTTAGCACAACCCACTCAAAAGAAGTCCTACATTTCCCAGAAGAAACGAAAAGTTTTCTCCCCAATTAATTACTTGTGTTTGGGGATGGGGTGGGAGTTTCTAGAGTTTTTTTCTAGAGAAGAATGCTATTGGAAGCATTTTGCGGCAGGTGAAAATAATATTTGCAAGAGGCTGAAATAGACAAAGGAAGAAACAGCACAAATATGTACATAAAATTAAATTTTATATACTGTTCTAAAATTTGATCAGAAAGGTATTGTACAAAGCAGCTGGAGTCTTTTTTTAAAATGTCAATGAGAATCAAAAACAGAAACAAGTCTGAAAATACTATAAGCTGTTTCCTGCTCACCACCTAAGCAATTTTTACCCCTTAAATCTTTTGATCAATTAAAAAAGCATTAAGCATGACTTGCAAGTTTAATGTACTGGTTATGTTTAGGATGATTGAATAGCATATGTTGATACTTACCTGGAAAGGATATTTATATTGACATGGAACTGGGATATCACTCTTTACAAGTTCTACGCATTTAATTTTGGATAGTTCAATTGAACCCTTTAGAATTCTTTTTTTCTAAGAGGAGAAAAACATTCAAAATACAATTAGGGGCCATGATTGGTTTCATTGCTTACTTGACATTACACTACCAAGTCTTTAAACATTCATTTCTGGAAAGTATTTTATCAAGGGAAGTGAAAACAATGAATGACATGTTTTGATTTTCAACATAAAACAAAAAAAGAAAGAAGAAAGAAATGTCTAGGGAAATGTCTAATTAAATTTCTGAACATGTAGCTGACTTATTTCCTGAGAAATAGTGGGATTTTTTTTCCTCTCTTTTTCCTTGGTAGATCTAGGAAGCATCAATGCATTGGCTTGTATATTTTTCTATAAAAGATGCATTGAACAGGAAGCCAAAAAAGCAACAAGTATAATAACCCTGCTGTCCATTAATGCCTTGCTTTGAATGATTCACAGCTCTCTTTGAAAGTAACTGATTTCCTGCTTTGATTTTTCTACAACTGAGATGTAACACTTTTTTTCATTCATTTCAGACAGAGCTTAAATGTGGCATTTAAGGAATAATTCTTCTAATGTGACAAGCAACTGATCTTATGCCTTTTCTATCAGAAACAAATCTATGTGGCTTGGAAAAATGATACACAATTAATTATACAATTCATAAGAAATGGCATTATCATACAATCACAAGAAGAACACCAGAAGCATCTTTGATTGAAGAAAACTTTCACAAAACGGGAGGATAGATTTTGCTACAGTTGTCACTCACATATAATTAAGCCTTCTATAGCCCACAGCTGTGTGATAGCTTATATTTTTCCATGCTTGAGGATGACAACTTAGTCCAATTAGATTGCCAGTTACATTCTATTTATAGGTTATGGCATTTGCATTCACCATATCCGAATCTGCATAGACTTCATCTGTCATCCATTATTTAAAAATGTGCCCAGAAGAATGCTAAACCCACATACAGAAGGATCCTGCAAAATGCCTGTACAGGGCATAGTAAAGCACTGGTTAGGCATTACAGAGGCACATGATGGCGAACCTATGGCACGTGTGACGGAAGTGGCATGCAGAGTCAGCACTGCCGGCACACGAGCCATCACCCCAGCACAGTTTCACTGCACATGCACACACCAGCCATCTGATTGTTGGGTATCTGCCTTGCATGCGAGGGGGGGCAGGGCACATGCAGGAGATATGTGTGCATGCTCAGGGGGTGTGGAGCACAGGAGGGTCACGCATGCATGCACAGGGTGGTAGGGGAACACACGCACTCATTGCATTAGGGGTGCAGGCATTCATGCACGCATACACGCACAAATACACACACTTTCGGCATGTAACAATGAGAAGGTTAGCCATCACTGACATAGGCAGATGCCTTTGGGGAAGTAAAATATCCAACTCTTCTGCAGGTCTCATCCCAATCCAAAATAGACATGGAGGGCATGGTGGAAACTTGCCAGCAGCCTTCAAATATAACAAGTGGGTGTTGGGTCTGGTTATACCATTATAGCATCATCAATGAGGCATTAGAGAATATTTATTCCTCTTCAACACAGGAGATGAAAAACTTTAAATATCAAACAGGTGAAGAGAAGCTGAAGAAGTGGCATGTTCCTCCTGCTAGACTAGCAAAAATGTTTAACCTAAGCCCTAACTGTTGGAAGTGTAAAAAGGAAAAAGGTACATATTTTCATATGTGTGGACCTGCCCAGAGGTCAATAAATATTGGAATATAATTTGATTGTGGCTAGAAGAAATAACAAAACAGAAAATTGAACTCAAACCAGAACTATTTCTATTAGGCTTAATAACAGAAAAATATAATAAAAAAGATAAATACATTATGCTACATATCTTAGCAGCTGCTAGGATTTCCTACGTACAATTTTGGAAGCAGGAAAATGTACCATCAGAGGATGTTGTTATAAATTTTTTTTAGATTGTGCAGAGATGGACAGACTAACAATGAAATTAAGAGACAGAGTCGACATAATGTCTGGGATGCCTGGTATGAATGGTTTAAGAATAAAAAGAAATCAAAATGACAATTAGATAAAGAATAATGAACTATATAAATACTTATATCTATATTCATATCTATATATATTTATTTATATATTAAGTTGAAATTGTATAATTAAAGAAATGTGTATATATAAAGATGATAAGGAAATGTAAAAGATGTCTTGATGTTGATATAATGATGTATAAAGTTTTATTTTATGTTTTTAAATTTTGAAAACTAAGTAAAATTTAATAAACAGGAAAAAAAGAAGAAGAGCTGAAGTGTATGAGACAAAAGATAACTTCACAAAGACACAACCTCCAAACCCATGTCCTCTAAAGGCAGAGGACTGGATAGCATTGGTTCTGAATTTGGATTACTTTAATTATAAGCAATTTACAGAATAAGTCTGTTCTGGAATTTTTCTTCCAAACCAAACTTTGCTCCAAACTAGGCAAGTGATAGCAAAATATGCCTGCCACTCCAATATGTCCCTGTGATTATAATTACATTTGTTTTGTTTCTTTTGCCCTCATTTGTAAAATGACTTGATGTAGTATATATCTTAAGTTGTAAAAATGAAAAGAGCCTCTCCCTGGTTTATTTTCAGGAAATCCTTGATACATATCAATATTTATTGTGAAATAAAATATTCTGCATATGTTCAAATGCACTAAATTCTTTCATGAATTCCTGTGAAAAAGAATTCCCCGAAGGTTATGTAGAAATAGTCAAACAATTTTCTTGACAACAGAATGGAGACGGTTTGTCTTCTGTAATATTTTTCAGTTGCCCAGTCTGCTATGTCAATTTCCTTCATCTCATTTTTAATGTTTATAATAAGTTTTAAAAATAAAATAAAACAAAAAAACATACAAATATAAAATCTAAATATATCGTAATGATTTTAATGAACTGAACATGATTGAATAAACAAAAATAAAAAATCTATATTAAATGAATTCAAATGTTGAGTTTATCATTAAATCTGGACCATATAGAAACTTAATGTCATCTTATAATTTTTAGAATACTAACACTTTTAAAAAACAGATAATAAGCTCAAAACGTGGATATATTCCTTAAAAGCAGCAGAATAATTTTTAAATGACATCGAATTATTCCCTTTAGTCCCTTTTAGAGACCTACAAGTGTTCTAAAAAGAAAACTCTTCCTAATATGGCAAATTCTACATTTTAGGAAAATAATTCAACATTACATTGGAGATAACATTGCCAAATTATATCTATATCTATATTTTAATTTGAAATAAAAACAAAATTACAGTAGACCTAGACCAAATCATGTGAATTAAAGAATATTCGTAATCACTAACATAAGAAGTTCTAAATGTCGATCCATTTTTAAACATTCTTTGAGAGTTCCAAATAGATCTGAGATAATATTGTCTGATGAATTAGTTTCATTTTTAAATCATAAGTATAGTTCACTTTTTTAAATATCTGGACTCATTGATTCCTAAAATTGGACATACTAACTCTTCTGTCCATAGTTTTATAACAAATAATTCCATTTACCTTTTTTATATGTTTTAAATTTGAATTGTTGACTTCCATTTAAAGTGCAGCATGTCTTAAAGAAACCAAAATAGGAGGTATCTTAGAAGCTATTGGCACATACAGACCATAGTGCTTAGTTGCTTATATTGCCAACTCTATATGGAATGTAAGTCAAACTTAAAAGGCAATCTTTCAAAACCTTTACAAAAAACAATTAAAATATCAAGTGATTTAAAGTATTTCAATAAAACACATTCCCTATATTTTTACATTTAGCCCTGGTATTTCCTAATGATCCAAGTACTTATCTTACTCAACACAGTTAAGCTTGTGAGTCCAGATAAGATTGACCAATGCTGCTGCCAGCTGAAATACATAAAAATACTTTTACTGATTCAGACTCCTCCACCATTCCCAACCTTTTAAAAATTAAAATAGCCTGGATACTTTTATCTATGCTTTGAGAACAACTAGATTAATCTCTTCAATAAATTGTTAAAGCATTGTACATTTTAAATTGCTTTTTGCAACTAACACAGCGAAAATCTAACCTAGTCAAATTGTAAGTTGCCTATTATAGTACAGCTGTTGTGGTTTCATATTTATTTGTAGGAAAAACACAAATGGCTATTTTTAAACTTTCAGGCTATATGCAATGTATGACTTGGATCATCTCTTCATGGGAACCTACTGCCTGTTAGGTTTGGCATTGTAGAAAAGACCTTCTCAGTAATCCTTGCAAAAAATATCTAGGAGGATCTGCCCGAAGCCTATACATTTTAAAGATCATTGTTGTTGTTTTGTAAGCGTCCAAAACTTTAGCAGATTTATATTATGCTTAAATAGAGACTTTAAGATTTTATTTGCTTTCTTTTTATAGACTATTATTATAATAGTTTACAATGCCATCTTGAATGTTAAAAATTAAACTAAACTAAACAAAGATAGCCTATGAAAAATATCCAAATAATCCAACAAGGATAATTTATTAAGGGCTTTATCATCAGATGACAAAATACAAAATGCAAGGGATGAAGAAGAACCATGAGCATTTCAGAAGTGCTTTGATACAGACACCTTAACACCTCTAGTTTAAAATCAATCTCATCACAGAGATTGAATACAGTCAGCAATAAAAGCTGCATTTACAGGTACTGTTAAACTAAGGTCTTCTAAAGTCACAACATAAGCCTAAGATTGAAAATCAGGCTCATCAGATGTTATATCTTTTCTATCCTGCTCTACAGAGTAGAGAGTTGGTATCTGACAGAAAGCCACTTGAAGAGACTAGAAGCATTTGAAATGTGGATTTACAGACGGCTATTACATATAAGCTGGGTTGACAAAATCAGAAATGACAAGGTGATAAGCCGCCTGGGAAAGCTAGGGAAAATCATCAAAACCATTAAAAAATGAAAGTTAGAATATTTTGGACGTGATGCGACACCCGGAAAAATACGACATACATCACTTAATCCTCCAGGAAAAGATTGAAGGCAAACGAGGTCCAG